ACCACAGCTTCTCTAGCCATTCGTTTGTTGATGGGAAAGGTATGTGGTTTAAATCTACCAGCTGCTTTGCAGAAGGACAGGCCATGCAGTTAACTGCCTCTGAAAAACAACCAGAGGGTTAGCTATGGGTTGGTTCTGACTCAACAGTACACAACAACAGGAACAAAATGAAAAATTAAGAATGAAGAGTCTCACACATAAGTGAGCTTGTAAATTTAGTTGTCCATCGAGGTATTATTAATGGCTTTTGAACTGAAATTATGACAACCTAAAGCAGGGATGACAGAAAAAGAATTGGTGCCTTTGAGTTATAGTGCTGGAGAAGTGCTGAACATTACACAGACTGCTAAGAGAACAAACAGGATTGTCTTGGAGAGGGTGAAACCAAGTTGCTCCTTATAAGCAAGGATTCTGAAGCTCTGTGTCACTTCAAGCTAGTTAACAGGAGGAATTAGTACTTGGAGAAGGGTGCTTGGAAGGGTAGAGGGACAGTGAAAGAGAGGAAGACCCTGGATGAGATGGACTGACACAGTGAGATTATGGGGTTAGGTGTGTCAGAGACAGTGAGACTGGCTTAGGATAGGGGAGGGTTCAGAGCTATTTTGCATAAGGTAGCTGTGAGTCACAGGCAACTCGATGGCACACAACAACAACAAAGCAGGGATATATGCAATTATATGTGAAAGTATCATGTCATCTTTTAAGTACGTATTAGCTTATGAAGTATAGGTATGCATATGAAGTATAGGTGGCATAAATGCATGCCTTGAGTTAAAACCCAAATTGTCTTTATTTCTTCTGTAACCATGACCCTACTCGCTTACAAGCAGTAAAGGGCCAACCATAAGTGTACTGAACTGGGAACAGGAAATCAGGTAAAACTCATTAAGTGTATATTAAGGTAGCAAAGTGGAAACAGAAAGATGAGGATGGAAATGAGATATAACAGCAGTTAAATCTATAATCCCTATCAAAGCTACAGGAAGAGAGGGAGATACCAAGAAAAGAAAAGTGTGTAGTCAACAGGGTAGAAGAAGGAAAATGACGTAACAGCTATGGAAGACTGTATGGCGCTTTCTCAAAAAGTTGCAAATAGAAATACCATTTGATCCAGCAATTCCACTACTGGGAATTTACCCTAAAGAAACCATAACTGCCACCTAAGCAGATATATGCACACACATGTTTATTGTGGCTTTGTTCACAATAGCAAAGAGCTAAAACAACCCAAGTGCCCCTAACAAACGAATGGATAGAGAAGCTCACACAATGGAATACTATTGAAAAACAAGGAATTCATGAAATACTATGCAAAATGGATGACCCTGGAGGACATTATGCTGAGTGAAATATCACAGTCACAAAAGGACAAATATTGTTTAGAGCCACTGTTGTAAAGGTTGAAAGGAGTCTGAGAAAGAGGGGATAAATTATGTACACTGCATTGAAAACAGATGAGAGAGAGAACTGTTTAAAAGTGATATATGATTGGGTCATGACAAGAGTCCAGAATGAAGGCTGCATAGTGGAGTGGACTTGGGGCAGGGGTGCGGTGGATTGTATACCAATGAAATAATTTTTCTTTTACTTTTCAAAGAGAAGAACGAATTGGGGGGGAAGGGTGGACAGGGAGAAAAATGCAACAATGAATGAATGGAAATCCAAAGTCTCTGTAAACATTTATTAAAATGAATAAGAAGAAGAAGAAAAGGAAAAAAAAAACCCAAAAACCACAAACAAACAAGCTATAAAATACTCAAGTGCATTGAAGAGCTGAAAGAAAACAGCCTGAACATACGCGGGTGAGGAGAGCTATGAATGACATGGAGCAGAGGTATGAATGAATGAGCCACAGATAATCATTTCTATTAATCTTTATTGCAAATAAGAGAGCCTACAAAATAAAATCAGAGTTGGAATTAAAAAAAAAAAAAGAAGGAAAATGATGAATGTGGCATAATGTCACATGCCGAGCTGGAACAGAAAGTTGAGATGTTCAAGTGCTCAGCCTATTAAGATTTTCAGCCTTGGAAAGCCAGTGGAGAATCATGAAGTTGGAATCAACTTGACAACAGTAGGTTTCGGGTTTTGTGGCAGAGAGTAGATGCTGAATAAACTTAGCTCCTATCACTCTTTCGTCCAGTTTTCAGGAGCTCAGGATGAAATCAGAAATCTATATACATAGATTTCAGTCATTTATATGGTTATCTTAGGAAACTCTAAGTTGTCATAATAGTTTTAAAGTTATAAAAAATTAAATAAAAATAGGTTTGTCGTAAAGACTCTAATGTTACAAGGTGTGGTAGGACTCCTCCACTAGTACAGACTCACTGAATCATCACAGCACAAATCGTTCAAAGAAAAGACCAAGGTTCTATTTCATGTATAAAACTGAGAAGTAATATACACTTTATAAGACATAGTCAACATACTTATTTCACAGCAACAAGAGTGGAAAATAAAGTCATATTATAAACTTACTGTAAGATCACTACTGGTAGACAAAATTCCCAAAAGAGAAGACACCCTGCGCCCAATTCCTGAAAGCATGCCTTGTCCCTGAGGAAGGAGGTGCTGGTGAATCTTCCCTAAACTGTCCGGGATCAGCCGAATGAGCTGGCCTCCTGATGAAGACAAAATAAAGCTTCCGCCCTGTGCGCAAACAGTGTGAGATTAGTCAGTCAGACAATTAATATCAAGATCCTTTTTTAAAACTAAGAAAAAAAAAATATTTCAATAAAGAAAAAATCATTTGGACTTTAACACAAATCTAAAAAAATTTAAAAATGGGCATATGCTTTCATTTAAAAAACTTATTTAAGAATCTAGTCACAACTCTTATGGGTAAAAGTTTTTTCTTTTAAATTTGATTTTTAAATTTTTTTGTTATTGTTGTTGTTAGGTGTCAACCAGCTGACAACTCACAATAACCCGATGAACACAAATTGAACCTCCTCTATCCTGCACCATCATCTTGATTTCTGACATGTTCAAGCTCATTGTTATAATCACTGTGTCAATCCATCTTGTTGAGGGTCTTCCTCAATTTCACTGACTTTCTACCTTTCCCAGCATGATGTCTTTTCTTAGACTTGGCCCTGCCTGACAACATATTCAAAGCATGTGAGATGAATTTCACCATCCTTGTCTTTACTGAGCACCTTACTACACTTCCTCTAAGACATAATTAAGTGTTCTTTTGGCAGTTCATAGGATATTCAGTATTCTTCACACACATCACACTTCAAAGGCATTGATTCCTCTTCTGTCATCCTTATTAATTTTCCAGCTTTCTGATGCATAGGAAGCAATTAAAAATACCATGGCTTGGATAAGGCAAACCTCAAGTCTTTAAACTGACATTCTTGCTCTTTAGTACCTTGGAGAGGTCCTTGACAACAGATTTCCCAAACGCAACCAAAATAGCTTTTGATTCACTGGTGGCTGTTATCATGAGTGTGGATGGTAGATCCAAAGAAAAATTGTTGACAACTTTAATCTTTCCTCCACCTATCATGAACCTATAGGTTCATTAATATAGTGAACTTTTAATTTACATGTTCATCAAATCATCTCTAAGAGTTTTTATGCCACTCTCTTACAAATGCCACTTTAAATTATAGAAAACTGTTAGGTTAGAAGAGCTTCCCTTTAGCCCTAAATCCTTCCACTTTTCTCTTTGTAATCCTTCTCTGGTTTGCATGCTCTGTTTAAAATTCTACATTTTTAATCACTCAAGTTCCTTTTACAAGTCAAATCACAGCTTACCTGCACTGCTGTTAGAAAATTGTAGGTCTTGTCACCTCCGAAATCTACAAAAGACTCTGTGTATGTGTCTTCATGAGCAAGGTTTGGCCAATAGCGGACAGATCCTTCTGTGGTGGCAACCATTACAGCAACAGCCTTGAAATCAAACATAACATGGTTCTATCAGTTCATAAAGGAAGATAAAAAAAACCAGAAACTTGATTGAACTCCTTCTAAAATTCATTAGTGCTCTCCCTTTACTATTGTCAACCTTCCTGTCATTTCCAACTTGTAATAATTAATGTTTCCATCATGACAGTGTTATGCTTTTAATAATAATTTAAAAAAGGAATGCCAAATAAATGAAATCATACATTTGTAACCCTCTGATATTAGTTAATCTCACTCAGCTTAGTATCTTTGAGGGTCTCCTACCGTTATTACAGATATCAAGAACTTGATCCTTTTTTACTACTGAGTAATAGTCCATTTACTTACACAGGACATCTGAATGGTTTCCAGCTTTGGGTATCACAAATAAGGCTGCTATGACATTTTCATACTATTTTGTGAAAATAAATTTTAATATCTCTAAATACACAGGAATGAAATTGATAGATCAGATCTGTAAAGTATGTATATAAGAAATGGCCAAATGAAGGAAATGCCCATCCACTGCTATCTGATTCTGGCTCATAGTGTCCTCTGTTGGTTTCTGATGTACATATTTCTAGGAGACTGCCCATCTTTATGCTACAGAACTGTCAGCGGAGTAGAATTTCTGGCCTTTTGGTTAGCAGCAGTCTGACAGGGCTTCTCAGTCAAGTCATCAGCTATACCATTTAACATTTTTATCAATAATGTATACAACTTCTAGTTATTCTCATCTTTGTCGGCTACTTAGAAGTGTTAGTATCTTACTGTTGTTGCTGTTGTTAAATGCCTTCGAGTATAACTCATAGTGACCCTATCCTGTGCCATCCTCATCATCTCTGACACACTAGAGCCCATTGCTGAAGTCACCGTATCAGTCTATCTTGTTGGGGGTCTTCCTCTCCTTTACTGACTGACCCTCCATCTTTCCAACATGATGTCCCTGCCCAAGGAATACCCTCACCTACTTGCTGTTGTTGTTATGTGCCAGCAACTCACAGTGGCGTGACATACATCTGAATCCTATACTATGCTGAGCCAGTCTCACTGACTCCAACACACCTACTCCCATTACCCCAGTTACTCTATCAATCCACCTCTTCCGGAGTCTTCCTCTCCTGCACTGTAGCTCCACCTTTCCAAGCATGACGTCCTTCTCCAAGGACCAGTCACTCCTGGCCATGTGCCCAAAATACGTGAGACGAGGTTTCAAAATCTTAGCCTTCAAGGAGAAACTTGGTTTCACCATCTCCATGACAGACCTATTTGTTTTCTTGGTGGTCCATAGTATGTTCAAGACTCCTCTCCAGCACCACAACTCAAAGGCATCATCAATTCTTCTGTCATCTTTAGACATTGTCCAGCTCTCTGATGCATAGCAAGTAATTGCAAAGACTATGGTCTGGATCAATTGCTCCTTAGTGTCTGGATTGACATCATTGCTTCTCAGTACTCTGGAGAGGTCCCTGACAGCAGATTTTCCCAATGCAATTTGTCTTTTGATTTCCTGACTATGGAGCCAAGAGTGCTGACTATGGAGCCAAGCAAGCTGCAACAGTTAACAACCTCAATCTCTTCTCTATTTATCATGGTATGGCCCAGTGGCGAGAATCATTGTCTTCTTGATGTTGAGCTTCAATCCATATTGAAGACTTCAGTCCTTGACTTTCTGCAGAAAGTGATTCAAGTCCTCCTCAGTGTCAGCAAGCAAGGTTGTGTCATCTGTGTAACACAGACTGTTGATGAGTCTTCCTCCAATCCTGATGCCACATTGTTCCTCATAAAGTCCAGATTCCTGAATGATGTTTTCCAAATATAGACAGGACACATCCCACTCCTTTCCTAATTTTGAACCATCACAGAGTTTTCTTGCTCTGTTCAGAGGACTGCTTTCTGGTCCAAGTATAGGTTGTGCATAGGCACAATCAAGCGTTCTGGGATTCCCTTTCTTCTCAAGGTTAGCCACAATTTGTTGTGATCACCTAGCTACATGGCCAAAATATGAAAAGCTGTGCCACTTTTGCGTCCAAGGAGCACTCTGGTTGCACTTTTTCCAAGACATTGTTACAGTCACTGCATCAATCAATCGCACTGAAGATCTTCCTCTCTTTCACTGTACCTCCACCTTTCCCACAGTATTTTTTTTCCAAGAACTAGCCCCTCCTGAAAATATACACAAAGTATGTGAGATAAAATTTCACCATCCTTGCCTCTAAGGAGCACCTTGGTCTAAGGAGCACTTTGGTATCCTTTCCTTTAAGACAAATTTGTTTCTTCTTTTGGAAGTCCATGAGATATTTCAGCATTCTCCAACACTACAATTCAAAGGCATCAAATTAATTAATAGATGGAATCTGTTATTTTTCATTTGCATAATGAAGGAGCTCTGGCAACTAAAAGACTACCCTTGGTGGTTTGCACAGACCAACTGCTCTGCAAGAGAGAGATGGCTGGTTCTCTCCCATTGTGATTCATACACTCAGAAACCAGATGCGAACTTCCACCCAAATAGATATATGCATACCCATGTTTATTACTGCTTTGTTCACAATAGCAAAGAGACAGAAGCAACCCAAGTGCCCATTAACAAATTAATGGATAGAATAGATGTGGTACATTAACACAATACTATGCAGCACTGAAAAATAAGGCATTCATAAAATATTATACAAACTGGGTGGCCCTGGAGGACATTACGCTGTGTGAAATATCTGTTACAAAAGGACAAATATTGCATATTGCCACTGTTACAAAACAGGACTGACACCAGGAGTTGGGGGTAAACTAAGAAAAGAGGTGGCAAATAATGAACATTGCTTTGAACAGATGAAGAAAAGAATTGTTTAAAAGGAATATATGATCAGACATTATCTGAATGACAACAGTCCAGAATAAGAGCTGCATAGCAAGGTGGACTGTAGTGTGGCAGGAGTGACGAAATTGTGCAACAGTAAATGAATTTTTTTAAAGAGAAAAGTGAACTGGTGGGGGGAGGGAGGAAAATATGCAACAATGACTGAAATCCAAATTTTTCTGTAAACATTTATTAAAATCACAGTAAAAAAACTATAAAAAAAAATACATAAATTCAATATTAGCCACCGCCCTCCCCCCAAAAAAAGAAACCAGATGCAGGTCACTGAGTCAGAACTGATTCAACAGCATTAAGTTTGAGGTTTTTTTAAATTAAAGATTAATGATGTTGATCATTTCTTCATGTGATTATTTGCCAACTTACATGGTATGAGGCAATGTCTACTGAAGTTCTATGCTCAATTTAAAATTTGTGTTGTTTCCTTACTATTGAGTTTTAAGGTTTCTTTTATAATGCAAGGAGCTCTAGTGGCATGGCGGGAAGGAGCTGTGTTAAATCCAACAGCTGCTTTGGGGAGAAAGATGGACAACTTCTTCCTGTGTAATTTATAGCCTCTGAAAACCCACTGGATGGGCAGCTTTACCTCAGTTCCAAGTCACCAGCAAGGAGCTGAATTGTTTTATAACATGGACATAAGTCACCTAAACTCCAGTCTGTTGCTTATTTCTTCATTTTCTTTAGGAGAGCAAGTTTTTATTCTGATGAAAGTGTCATGTTGAAGAATCCTTCACTAAACCCAAGTCACAAAGATTTCTAAAACTTTCATAGCTTCATCTAGAATCTATTTTAAAGTAATGTTTGGATAAGGTGCAGGTGAAAGTTCATTTTTTTGAAAATAGATGACCAATACTTTCCAACACCATTTCTTGAAATGCTAAATTGCCTTTGCACTTTTGCCAAAGATCAAAGGGCTATATATATCTGTATGGTTTTATATTTGTATTATTTTGCTCCATTGACCTGGTGTTTGTAGTCTGTGTCTACAGTATTCTGATCCCTATAGTTTTATTGTTGTGTCTTAATACTAGATAAGGTGACTCCTCTAAATTTATAACACTACTGGTTTAGTAGGTTAAGGAGTTGCACTGTCAACCCAAAGGCAGGCAATTCAAATTCACCAGCTGCTCTAAGGGAGAAAGATGAGCAATCTCTTCCCATGTGGTCTACAGCTTCCGAGTCACTTTTAGCTTGACAGTTGTGAGTCAAGTTGTTATTCTACAGGTTTCTTTCAATAAGAACATAAGTCACCTACCTGAATAGAATGTGCGTCACCCGAGATCACAGAGTAAGAGAGAGCAACCAAGTCTGCATTCCACTGGAAACTACTAGGTGGCAGCTGAAGTTCTTTGCATACAGATAACTGCAGATGAAATGTAAGCAGAAATTCTTTCAAAGGAAATGAAATTTTTCCAATCTGTATCTGTTGCTGTTTCATTTCTGTAAGTACTTGAGGTCTGAACCATTGTCAGAAAACATAATTCTAAAAAGATTCTCTCTTCTCATATCTCTTTGATCAGGTTTGCAATCAACTTTTAAAAACATTATCTTCAAAGAGATATAACAAGAGGAAAATTTAAGTGCTAGACATGACGTTCAATATTAACTAGTTCTATTTCTTTCCAAGCTATAAAAAATAGATTGCTTAAGAGAAGTGTTTAGGCTTCCTCTGAAAAATTTCCATTTTGGTCTCGACTGGTTATTTGATGTTTAAAATCAGCTTGCATATGTTGTTGTTGTTGTTGTTATGTGCCGTCAAGTCGCTTGCAACTCATAGTGACCCTATGTACAACAGCCCTAAACTCTGTTCTGTCCTGTGCCAAGCTAACTGTCTCCGACACACTCATCCTGATTACCCCAGTCACGGAATCAAGCCACCTCCTAGAGGGCCTTCCCCTCCTGCGCCTGCCCTCCACCCTCCCAAGCATGATGTCCTTTTCCAAGGACCGGTTTCTCTTTACAACATGTCCAAAGTATGTCAGATGAAGCCTCAGAATCCTTGCCTTCAAGGAGCATCCCGGTTTAACCCTCACCAGGATGAATCTGTTTGTTTTCTTAGCAGTCCATGGTATTCTCAATACTCTTCTCCTGCACAAGAAACTATCTACACACCAGTTCCACAGGATATATCACCTTTGTTCGGGACACATTACCACTAAACTTAGGAGACTCTGGTCACAGCATAAGAAACTGTTAGCAGCTGATGAGTCTGGAATCACAAAAGCCAAGGAAGCTTTAGATATAAGCTATCAGATCAAGGGCTGGACAATGGGAGATAGATGTTGAAGGGAGTAGGCAGAAGTGGAGGGGTATCTTGATGGATGGTGGAGAAAAGAAATAAGTGGGTCAAGACACTTGTGCCAAGGGCAGGGACAACACTGAAACTAATGGTTAATTCCACAATAAGGGATATATTTTCACTTTTTCTGTAAAATGCTTATCTGTTGGATACTTCTCTAAATCTGAACATTCAGATTAAGACACACTAGGAAGAAAGATTGGCCATCCACTTCTAAAATAGCCGGCCTCTGAAAACCCTATGTACAAGAGAAACAACAGCTTGAGTATAGATTAATTAAATTTAATTAAATTTCCTGGAAAATATTTAGGATATTCAGGCAAATGAATGCCCTCCTGGACTTTTTTCTCATTTACAGCTTGTAACTACAAATATTGCTTTCCAAAAATTGGCATCAAAGGGCCACAGACTTAAAAAGGTTTGGTAATTAGGACTCTCTTTGTTCCAATAAAACAATAGCCCAGTGAGTAATGAAAGACATAAGAAAGTCTATACTGTTTTAAACAATATGTCTATACTGTGATAAATAGAAAAAGAAAGTTATCAAACAAGAAAGTACTAAAGTAAACTAGTAATTAGTATCATTTTTTTTATTAAATTAAACATTATCCACTATTTTTAGGATAAATAGTCCTATCTTCTTAGAAATAAGTTTGTTACCTTACTTGGATAACATTCCGTCTTGAATCTCATTAGGCAGACCAATTAGAATTGCATTAATTTAACATGTCAACTTTTCTAATGTTATGAAATGTAAACTATATGGACCTATAAATTACATGTATTTATAAATTATATGGATTATTTAAAAATTATCTAATAGAAGCGAGCTCTGGTGGCCTAGTGGCAAGAAGCTGCACTGCAATCCCAGAGGCGCCTGGTTCAAATCCACCAGATGCTCTGCTGAAGGAGAGACAATTTCCTCCTGTACGAGTCAGATCTCATTTGATGGTACACAGAAAAGAATAATAATAATTAAAAAAATATTAACTAAAAATATATTTTAAAAAATTATCTAATAGAAAGATACTTTTATCTCAATATATATTTCTATATGCATGCTTACAATTTCAAATCACAATGAAAACGCAAATCCATAATGCCTGAGTAGATTCACATTCATTAATCCTGAAACTTGAGATACAAGTCAAGAACCAACTGGTACCATTTTCTTCTATCTTCTTCTTGTACTCTAAACAGTTATTTTCCTCTAGCACTCTAAAGAGTGCTTATTACCTTAGTAATAAGTGATGGGCCAATCTTCCAAACAATGAGCTTCTCTTTGCAGACCAAACAAGCCCATCCATGGTCATCTATGTAAACTGTCAGCTGATCATTAACTAAAGGAAATAAAGTGCACAATTAGAGTGTGTACATGGAAAAACTTAAACATTTCCTTACACCAAAATTGTTTTACTGTGATAAGCCTCATTTTTTTTAAAAAAGAAAGCAATTAGCACAGACAAAAAAACACGAAAAACCTTAAATGCAAAAGGGCAATTTAAGAATTAACAATATCAGAGACACATATCAGGTGGCACAAGGGTTAAGGGCTCATTTGCAAAATAAGGCAGATGGTTCTCAGGAAAAGTTTTGGCAACAAGCTCCAGGAAAACCTAGGATGTGATTCCACTCAATGGGACAAAACAAACCAGACATACATCTGAGGGCAAAAAGTGTATTTAGAGACTAACTTTTGGTTAATAGCAGATAATATTAATAGCAGTCAATATTTAATAAATTTCATAATTTTAGGGAGCTCTTGGTGGCCTAATCAGTAGAGTGTATAGTGCTAATCCAAAGTCAGGTGATTTGAACTCATTTGCTGTTCCAAGAGACAAACATGGGCAATCTCCTCCCACACAATACACTGTCTCTGAAACCCACTATAGGGTTAGCTATAAATCAGTTTTGATTCAACAGTAACAAGTTAAGAGTTTCATAATTTTAAGAAAACACACACACACACACACACACACACACACACACACAAAAGAAAACACAATATACCCTTTAGTACTAAAAATCATTGAAATAAAATGCATGTTCTTTCAAAAGAACATAATTTAGATATAACTTTG